AGCACTTGCGCCTTCATGTGCGCCGAGCTCTTGGTATGACCAATATCTCTTGAGAGTAACTGTAAGGAGGATAGTGAGGAGGATGAGGAAGATGAGGAGGAGACGGCAGAGGAGGAACAATAAACTATAGTATGAGCAGGAGAGAACACAAGATCACAGAAGAGCTAGATCGTTGCTTGCCTGCCGTCCCCGCGCTCAATTCTACAGCCTGGCCGCGCCCAGTTCTGCGCCCCGCTGCCCAATGTCATCGCACCCGTCATCGGCGATGGCTGGATCGATGACAGTCCGATCGCCGATGAATGAATTTCACCCCCACTGATCGTTTTAGTGTGGTTGCATGTTTTGATAGTGCTGTGGGCTCTGGTCATCTAGACCACCCTGGTTCCACAACGTACCAGTCATTGGCGATGACGGATGCGATGCTACTGCAGCTGCGAGTTGTACTGTAAAGCTGAGCCGCCAATCGAGTTGCCCCGACGCCTTCCCCCCACACGTCACTCTCGCCCTCACGCCCTCGCATCCACTAGCATTATCATTCCTACACCACTCACGCTCACACAGCATGCACCCTGCTTCGAAACGTGGTCGTATCCATACCTAGCCTCCCCTCTCATTTACCACTGACTCGCCCTCACATGCCCTCTGTCAGGCATTGCCAGGATGACGAGGAGGAGAATGAGGAGGGGGAGAGCGGGGGTGACATGAGAAGAAGGGGAGGAGGAGGGGGAGGATGCGACACTACATTATACCCCATTGGTGCGAAGGTGATCGCGCTGTCATCATCCAAGGATGTGGCGCGAGGCCCGAAGTGAGGTGGCGCCTACGGGGGAAACCAACGCAAGGGTGGAGGAGAAAACCGTGATGCAGTGGAGGGGGTGAGAATGATGCGAGGAGGGAAAGGTACCGATAAACTGTTCGCAGGATTCGACATTTTGCCGCAGTTTAAAGATGCCCGATGCGCTAATGATTCCGTCGTCCAGCGACGAAGCAGGTATGGGCGTCGAAGAGAACGTGGCCACCGATGATGAATCGGACTCGATCGGGATCCGACGCACGGCCAGCTTGAGTCTAAAGCAATCTGGAACGAGGGGGGAACTGGGGAGGAGGAGACGGGAGAGGCGGAGGAGGAAGATGGAGAGGCGGAGGGGGAGGACGGAGAGGAGGAATAGGAGGAGGAGGACGAGGAGGCGGAGGAGGAGGAGGATGAGGGATGAGGAGGAGGAGGGGGAGGAGGAGGAGGAGGAGGAGGAGGAGGAGGAGTGGGGAGCAATAGTGACAATGTCGGTCCAGACCCCAGCCCAACACCATGAAAACAACACCCCCCCCAGCACGTTGACACATGCCCAACTCACGGACGCGATGTATAAGGAAGGCTATCGCTTGATATCCCACGCCAGCTGCAGCAGGGCCACGACGGCCTCCAGCATTGACAAGCTAGTGTGTCGAGTATTTTGCGAGGCTCTGGTTTGCAATCCAGCCGCGCCCGCCGACGGCGTCCTCTGGGCAAGAGGGATTGGCGATGAGCGGTACGGCGGATGTCCTTGATGCTTTCGGTTGCCGTACCAGCCGCTATCTCCATGACCCCCCTGCCCACGGGCCGTCGTCGTTGGGCGCCGACTGATTGTAAAGCCTCGGCAGGGGTATTTGCGCCACCGCACGTGGCTGCCGAATCGAGAGTATGAGGCGCAATCTGGCCGCGGGACTCTCAGCGCAGGCTGGCTGCACGCACCAGGATATGTCATATTCCCACAGCCTGCGCTGAAACCCATAGACAGGGGATACTACCCATAATGGCTGCACACGCACGTTATGTTTCAGCGCGGGCTGATCGGTCCGACTTGGACCGACAGAGTGCACGGGTACCGCTGGGATTTGGAAAGCGTGCTTCATCCCGATCGCGCTCTCGCAGACGAGGAATTGCTGAATATGATTGGGTGAGTTCGAAAATGAGGAAAATGTGAGCCCCGAGGGCCATGAGGACCCCGACACATGAGACCCCCCCCCACGAAAATGAGGAGTCTTCCCAAAGAAAACACGATTGCCGCGCGTGTTGACTGGACCTCCTACGACCTTCAAGGGCCCAAGGGAAGCTCATGTGCCGCCTTTGTATCATAACGAATGTGCCTCCTTGTCGTGGTGCTGCTGCTGCTGCTGCTTCTCCTCCTCCTCCTCATCCTCCTCCTCCTCCTGTTGCTACCGGTCATCCTCGTTCGTACTCCCTCGCATTCTCTCCCACTTCCTCCTCCTCCTGTCCATCTCTCTCTTGGAGGGGGGAGGGAGGAGGGATGGGGAAGAGGCAGTAGGCAGGAGGAAGGAGGGAGGAGGGAGGGAGGAGGGGGGGCGAGGGAGGGAGGAGGGAGGGAGGAGGGATGGAGGAGGGAGGGAGGAGAGAGGACGATGAGGGAGGATGATGATGCTGATGAGGAGGATGCTGAGGAGGAGGAGGAGGAGGAGGAGAAGGAGGAGGAGGGGGAAAAGGAGGAGGAGGAGGAGGCAGGAGGAGGCAGGAGGAGGCAGGATGAGGGAGGAGGAGGAGGAGGAGCAGGAGCAGGAGCAGGAGCAGGAGGAGGCGGAGGAGGAGGAGGAGGAGGAGGAGGAGGAGGAGGAGGAGGAGAGAGAGAGAGAGAGAGAGAGAGAGACAGAGAGAGAGAGAGAGAGATGAAAAAAGGCCAACAACAGGCCAACGAAGCCCCGAACTCGTGCTAACACGACCTTCGCATGATGTTCACGATTTTCATATATCAAATAATGAAATCAAGCGCAACATAAAATAGCCCCAAACAGCATTTACATGTTGGGGCTATAAACTAGCCCCAACAGACCTCAGGGGAGCCAATACATCGTCTGCCCACTGGTTGACAATAGCGCCAGCAACACCCATAATTGTTATCTTGAGACTGTCGCCAGCGATCTGCGCGGACGTCCGCGCCGTAGTGTTCCTCGTGCTCGCGGGGCGTTACTGGAACAGCGGACGGCGAGAGAATCGGGTTGGTAAATTTGCCATGTCCCGGAAAAGTAGCGATACCACCTCTGATGTTGGTATATTTGCCCATACCCCGTTGGTCGGCAGAAATATGCTGTGATTGCAGCGGCATCGTGTCCACAGGAAGGCGGAGAGGGCGTACGAAATACGTTGTCCTCAACCGTCGCGTCGTCCACGTATAGCAAACCACTGAATATGTGGAAAGACGAAGGTATATGCGACGCTTCCCGGGACGTCTATACATGTTTTGTCGGTTCCGGGGCGGTCGGCAATCAGCACTTGCCGGATATCCCACTTCGCCGCCCCCTTGGATCCTTTGGTCCTGACTTCGGCTCCTTCTTTCATAATATTAGTGTTCCGCTGTACATTGCCCTCAGAAAATTGAACTATACCTTTGAGCTTGGAGTGGGCGCACAATTCCTCCAATGTGTCGTAGTCGTTACGCCACTGACCAAGGTAAGTGAGAGTTCCCCGCCTGCCTCCACTGAGTAAAGGTTGCGGTCAGAAAATGATGTTCTGAAGCTCGCCTTTCACGTATAGATTGGTTAACTCTGGAGCTTCCAACTTCTCCATCTCAGCTTGTAACCATTCGGAGGCGGCGGCGACGGAGTCCAAGCAATCGAAATTCCCGATCACTGCGGTGAAATTCCTCCTGCCGTCCGTGTTGGTGGGGGCGTTGCAAGCTCGGCTACCAACATCCCAGAGCAATGCAACTTCCCGTTCGTTCGAGATCCGATATCTTATTCTGCGCGGTGGTGCCGACTGATGTTTCAGATGCTGTTTATCGCAGACGCTGGCTGCAAAGAGTAGTTGGCTTCCAACAGACCAATGCGTTTCGTCAGGTCTTCGATGACGTGCTTCAGCGGGCCAACTACATTCTGTAGGTATTTCTGGGAAACGCCATGGGTTTTGATAGCTGTGATGTCCACCCTGATCGGGTCCAGCTGGTCGATCAGGATCTGCCAGAAAGCATCGGGCGTAAGATAATGCCCATGGGAAATGGAGCCGCCCGAACCAACAGGTAGAGCTGGAGGAACTTGGAAAGGTGCCACTGGCTCGTCGCCGTCCATCTCGTGAAGCGGACTGTGGATCCTGTGCTGCTTGAACAGCTGTCTGACAGGAGTGCCTGGCACGCGCGAGCCGGCGCCTGTGCCAGAGGACATCAGTGTGGTCTCGAACGTAGCCGACAGGCAAGAACCAACAATGGTAAATGCAGGAATGTAGGGTAGCCGAGCAAACTCAAAAGTACCACGCCGCGTGTGGTGATGCTTCTCTTGAGCCAATTTGAGCCAAGATGGCTATGGCGATGGTCAAACAGATCGGCACGATACCGAAGTGAAATGCTGCCCAAAACCGACACTGGCCGTTGTTGGGCAGGCGGCTGTTCTTCTCAATCGGGGAGACGTGAGAATCGGGTACGGGGAACTCGGGTTGGCCTGACGGGGGCCATCATAAAAATGACGAGACACAATCTGAAATTTGACGCGGGCTCCCGGTGCAGACATCCCACGAAAACGGGACCGTCAAAATCCAGGACGCGCTCGTAACAAAAAAAGTCGGCAAAACCCGAGTTCCGCCTTACTCGAGTCTTACGTTTCCCCAACCCAAGCCGACAATAACGTCCGCGGCGGCCCCGACAACGAGACCTGCTGAAAATGGGCAGGAACTGAAAACGCTCTTCGTTCCCGTACGCATGTCGACCGCACCGATCCCCGCGTCGAGGCCTCGGGCCTGCACGCCCGAAAAAAACACTGGCCTCTGCGCACCCGCCGGCTTCGAGGCCTCGATCTTGAGGCACCGTGAGAGACCGCTGACTTCTGAGTCCCTCCTGCTACCATCAGGTCGGGCATGTCCCCCTACAGGCGGATTTGGAGGAACAATGAAAAATATCAAAATGAAATTCACAAGTAATCAAAAATACTCAAAAAATCGTCCCCATACTATTTTGTTGTCGAATAGTCCTCCTGAAGAGGGACGTGCCCGACCTAGTGCTACCATGTGCGCCCATCATGCAATTTTGCGCGCTGCCACTGGGCGTCTGGTGCTGCCTGTACAGGGTGGCGGGCGACGAGGAGCCAGAGGAGCACCGGGGGTTTGAATGCTTGGGACCGACGGCCCGAGACCGATTTCGCCCCGGACACGTGTCAGAGCCCAGCACCGCCCCGTCTAGCCCTCCGCGAATTCTGAGCTGAGCAGGCCGCCTTGCGCACCTCTTAGTGCGCCATGCACGTCGGGGAGGCACGCTGGGGGGTGTCAAGCGGGTTCGCCCCGAGTCTCTGCTCGTGCCCCAGCGCTGCCCGGACGGCCGCTCGAATTCCGCGCGTGCCGGGCCAGGCTGGGCGACGCTTGGCGCAGCCTGGTCCCGTGGCGATTCTGGAGACCGTCCACATGGGGCCCGAGCAGATGGGGGTCGGAGGCTGGCGCCGCACCACTCGGCTGCACGCAGGAGGGACCCTGGGAAAGAGGCGACTTCAGGGGGCCGCAAGGAGGCCAAATCCAAGCGCCCCAGCCACTGCTGAGGGACCCTTGCAGGCCCCAACCGAAGGTCACTCCAGCGAAAAGTCACTCCTACGCGTGGCCGAACCGCCGATGCACCGGCGATGCACCGGCGACGGCTCACGAGCGGCAAACGCATCCACGTCCACGCCCTCGCAGCCTGGATTCCGGGGCGCGATCCCGCGGATGCGCGGTCCCACGGATACGTTCCGCGCAGGGCATCGGGAAAAAGTTGCGTTAAGTTTCGCCGAGGGATGTAGCCATCACCCCCCTGGGCCGCTCCCGATATTTTCTCAGCCCCGCCGTCGCCGGCGCATCACCGCGGACGTATCGACGACGCGGCGCAGACCTCCGAACCCCTCTGCCCTGGCCCCATCTGGGCGGCCTGGATAGGGGACGCACCAGCCCGGGTCAGCGCAAGCTCAGCATGGGGGAGCGAGTCCCGAGGGAAACGGGTCCTGGACCCTGGCGCCTTCACCCAGGACGAGTGCTTCATCCCGGGTCGTCCGGGGCCCGTGGAGAGCCACGGGAAGCCCAGAGAACGGCGAAAAAACCAAGGACCCGCTTCCCTGAGGACCCGTTCCGCCCATGGCGAGCAAGCCCAGGCCAGCCAGGGCCCAGTCGCGAAGCCGGGCCGGGCGCGAAGTAGCCGCCAAGCCGGGGTCAGCGGAGGGCGGGGGAGCGGAGTCAGCTCCAGGTGGCTCCCAGCCTGAGGGGCAACGATGGGGGGGGAGTGGCACAGGGTTGGGAGCTTCGACCTCGAATCGGCGAGACATCGCCGATAGATCGGCGATAGGCTCCCGAGAGTGGATCCGCACGTCCCCGCGCAGGTTGGGGCCATCGGACCCCTGTCGCCGATCAGTGGGCGATTGGGCGGCGGTGCAACCCCCCACCGATGCCTATCCCCTCCCCCCTAGTTGCCCCTGACATCCTGGGCCAGCCACAGGATTGAGGAGGGGCTTGGCTGACCCCCGCTGGCGCCGACCCCCAAATCGTAGGTGAGCCCCGGCTGGAGATTCCAGCGGCGCCGGCGGCGCGCGGCTTGCGGGGGCACCCCGGGGCGCTGGCCCTGTACAGAAACTGCCGCGGCAACTGCTGCCTTCGGCGGCGAGTGAGGGGTGAGGCGAAGAGGAGGCCTCCTCAGAAGGCGGCGGGACTCCTCAGAAGCCCTCGCGCCTTCTGAGAAGCTTTCTGTGTCTTCGGGGAAGGCTCAGAACACTTCTCGAAGGACGGGGGACTTCCGAGCCTTCCGAGAAGGCCCGCCCCTTCTCACTTCCCCCTCGCTCGCCGCCGATGCCTGCAGTAGAGCTGGGGGAACCAGAAGGCACTGATACCACTACTCCCCAGATCTCCTGGGTGCGTTCTGACCAAACTTTCGAGGCGAGTCCAGTGGTGGCGACGAGGGCCTCACAGGAGGCCCAATGAATGGAAAACGAAAGAAAGGCAGCGGATTGGGGTACATTTTCCTCCTCTGACGATTGGCGGCGAGCACGAAGAGGTAAAGGGAGGGGGGAAGGCCTCTTCGAAAGAGGCTGCTTCTCAGAAAGCGCCGGCCTTTCATCTATAGATCAGGCCCGCGCCTTCTAAGAAGCAGGGGTGTTGCTAGGGAGCCTTCCCCCCCACCCTACGGTAGGTTCGTGTGACGATGGTGCGCATAAAGGTCTTTGACACCGCATCGATCATCCAACCCTGAACCAATCGCGGCCACAATTATCAAAGGATTAATTCCGTCGGGTCCCGTGGCGTTACCGTGTCCATCAGTGCTTTCACGTCGTTCTATCTTGCGGAGTTCAGCCTTGAACGCTTTCGCCGGCGCCGCCGGCGCGCCATCGCGGCATGAGCCCACCGTATCCAAAGGTTCCGATCGCCCATGATTTCGATGAGGATCCCGGGGCGGATGCCGGCCTTGCCCACCTCCTGGGCTACTCACGCAGGACGAAAGAGATCTTCCCGTCGAGGCGACAGTGGCGACGAGCGGTTGGCGAGAGAGCAGCTTCGCCACCAGACGCACAGCGTCTGGGCAGGATGCCTGCAGCAGCCAGGGGGTGAGGAGAGATGTACTCGTTTGGGGCGCGAGCCGCGTGCGAGGAGGGTTTGGTGGGGCCCGTGAAACAGCGCGCGACCTGTCTGTGGCAGCTTGCAACCAAACTCCACCTCCTCCCCCTCCTCCTCCCCCTACCTCTCCTCCTCCTCCTCCTCCTCCTCCTCCTCCTCCTCCTCCTCCTCTTCCCCTCTCCCCGTGGAGTCTTAACAGCGGCGGGTTTTGGATGCCGCGGATCCGATTTCCGCCCGTCGGCTGAGTTCACTGAGTACTGAGTCTAAGACAGAGTACCCGTCGGATCCGTGTGAAAACACAGGACGGGCATCAGATCCACAACATCCGAAATCGGATCCGCGCGGAGGGAATTTGATCCGACGCGACACAATTCCAAACTTACTTGATGCGCGCTGTCGGGCCCAAAAAGAAAAAATCTCTCGTCCTGGGGATGTACCAGGTTGACCCAGAAGGGGGTCTTACAAAAAGGGGGTGGTGCAATAGATTTGATGGGATAGACTTGTGGGGTTGCAACACATTTGGGGTATGCAATAAATTCCAGTGCGCAAATGTATTGCTCGATTTTCTCGTGCAATACACTCGTTGCAATTCAGTGCAATAGAATTCTGGAGCAGTACATTTGCAATACAGACAGACAGACGACAAACAGACAGACAGACAGACAGACAGACAGTCCCGCAGAAGGCACCTACGCGGGTGCAGCGGGTGAGCGCCGGGTCGCCGAAAAATCCACGTGCAGTTGCATTGCACGTTTGCAATACAACTGTCCCGAAACTATTACACCAACCCCACTTTTCAGCTGGACCTCCTCTTGGGTCACAAGGAATGTACCCACCCCTTCTGGCTCCCCCGAAGGTCTGGGAGGACCTGCACGGTTTGCCCCGGGGCCGTAGGCGACCCGAGGAGGAGGAAAGAAGAAGAGGTGGAGGAGGGGGAGGGGGAGGAGGAGATGGAG